ACTTTGCCAAAATAACAAAGCCATTTACAGCTTGTCTGAAGAAAAATAAAACTGTTATAGTCGACGATAACTATAAAAAACGTTTGAAATTTGTAAACAACTCTTGGTAAATGACCCTATCTTACAATATCCAGATTTTTCTAAGCCTTTCAATCTTACGACAGACGCAAGTAATTTTGCGCTAGGAGCCATTCTTTCGCAAGGACCTATAGGGAACGACAAACCGATTTGTTACGCAAGTCGCACACTCACGACATCGGAAATCAATTACTCAACAATAGAAAAAGAGCTCTTAGCCATAGTTTGGGCTACAAAATATTTTCGACCATACCTATTTGGTCACCAGTTCAGAATCATAACAGATCATAAACCACTCACATGGATTATGAGCCTGAAAGAGCCAAACTCTAAATTAATAAGATGGCGACTGAAATTAGAAGAATTCGATTATGAAATTATATACAAAAAAGGCAAACTAAACACAAACGCCGATGCCCTTAGTCGCATAAAGACTGACACATCAGTCAATCTAAACATAAATGCATTTGATACAACGTCAAATCAAGCCACTTCTGGTAGTACTATTCACTCTGCAGAGGAAAACTGCGATGATGGTATTCCGATTTCGGAAAAACCAATAAATGATTTTAATTTACAAACATTATTTAAGACAGGAAACTCTAATTCTCACATAAAACAAGAAGTAGTTTTTAAAAACAAATATAGAAAAACATTTACATACCCCAATTATACAGAGGAAATTATAACACAAATTTTTAAAAATCATCTAGCGCCCAATAAAACCACGGCAATTTTTACAGATAATGAAACTTTTCGCATTATTCAAAATGTATATTCCAAACATTTTGCACAAAGCAAAATTTTTCGTTTAGTTAGGTGTACTGAAATAGTAAAGGACATAAAAGAAAACGATAATCAGGATAAAATCATTCAAGACTATCACGAAAACAATAATCACAGAGGCATACAAGAAACCTATGACCACCTAAAACGCGAATATTACTTTCCATACATGAAATCAAAGATAGCTCAAACAATAAATAATTGTACTTCATGCCAAAGACTAAAATATGATAGACATCCTCCGAAGAATAAGTTTGAAAAACCTCCCACACCTGTAAAACCATTAGATATAATACATATAGACATTTACACGATTAACAGCAAAAATATTTTAACCATTATAGACAAATTTTCCAAATTCGCCGCAGCATATACTCTAACAGCGAGAAACAGCCTTTGCGTTATTAAATCTTTAAAACATTTTCTTAGCCTGCATGGCATACCTAACAAAATAGTTTGTGACCAAGGAACCGAATTCACATCAAACATATTTAAAGACTTTTGTCAGCAATACCAAATTGACCTACACTTTACATCTTTTCAACAATCTTCTAGCAATTCCCCCGTAGAAAGACTCCATTCAACATTAACTGAAACTTACAGATTAATAGTCGAGAAAATTAAAGAAAAAAAGTTAGAAATGGATCATGACGACATCCTAACAGAAGTTCTTATAACCTATAATAACGCAATACATTCTTCTACTAAAATTACACCTTTCGAACTTTTCTATGGAAGAACCTATAAAATTAACCGTCAAATTACATTTAACAATGAACACGAATATCTTTCTAAAATTAATCAATTTCGAACACAACTCTACGAATCTATTAAGGAAAAATTGGAAACCGACACGGACAAACGCATAGAAAAACTTAATGCAGACAGACAAGATCCACTAAATTATGATGTAGATAACTATATATACAGGAAGGAATGTAGGAGAAACAAATTAACACCGAGATTTTCTAGGCACAAAGTGAAACAAAACAACAAAGCAACATTACTTACTACACAAAACACGAAACTTCACAAATCAAAAATAAGAAAAAAACAATTTTCATAATCTTTTATTTCAGATTAATACCCATGATACACACACAAACACTGGAGATACACAATTTAAAAGACACCCAGGGATTATTACAAATAAAACTGGGAACTGCTAAAACAATAATTGACTATATCAACCTTATACATATAATAAAATTAGATTCTTATAAGGATAATGTCATGAAAATTGAGGAATCTGTCAAACAATTTACTCCCACATATTACAACAGAGATTCCTTAAAGGTAACAAAATTTAAACTTAAAGACCTTAAGGATAAATTGAATTCAATAACTCCTAAATACCGCAGGAAAAGAGGATTATTTAATGGTATAGGTTCAGCAGTTAAATTTATCACAGGTAATATGGACGATAATGATGCTCTCCGTATTAACCAGGCTATATTTAATCTAACAAATAAATTACAAACTGAAACCAGTAAACAGAATATACTTAGTACTGGAATCATTGAAAGAATAGAAAATATCACAGACCACATAAATAAAGAACAAGATATAATAGTAGAGTCAATAAAGAATTCTCAAAATAGCATAAATTCCAACTCAAGACTTATAAATGATATGCAGTATTTAAATCAGATTAATTTCCACATTGATTTACTGACAAATCATATTAAAGATGTTTCTGAAGCGATGACATTGTCTAGCCTCGGAATTATACCCAAGATGATATTAAATACGCAAGAGTTAGAAGAAATAGGGAACAATTTAGAGAATCAGTCAATTAAAATTGATACAACAGAACATTTATATGAACTCTTACAATTACAGGCATTTTACAATGATACCAATATCGTTTTTAACATTCAAATTCCCCACATCCCATTAACCAATTACACAATTTCCCATACAATTCCTATACCAATTAATAAAACAAAAGAAATAGTTATAAAACCTTACACAATTTATAATAATAATAAAATTCAATATTTCGAAAATTTATGTAAGAAAATCGAAAACATATATTATTGTAAAGAAAGTTCACTACAAGAAACTATGGAAAATTCTTCATGCTTTGGAAAAATCATAAGTAATTTAGAAGCTAATTGTAATCTCAATAATATAGGCCAAATTACAGAAATATCACAACCTGAACAAGGACTTGTGTTAATAAAAAATTTACCGACCACAGAAATGAAAACATCATGTAACTCCGAAAAACATAATATTGAAGGCAACTTATTAATAAATTTTAAAACTGTAATGTTATTATTAACGGAATTATCTACGAAGATAACCCAAACATATATTGGGACGATTTTATTGTAAAACTACCCACAGAAATAAACATAAAACCTTTGTCTACAATAGAAACTTTAAATATACCTAAACTCAAAGAGTACCATCTAGAAAATAAGTTAGCCATCGAAGAGTTATCAAACAATACAGAACTTCACAGACACATAAATTATGGAACTTTAATGTTAATAATTGGAATTGTAATTTTCACCTATATAATGAAACAGAAGACAAAATTAGTGGTAAATGAACTTCCCGCCAATACTGTTGTCGCTTCTGACCATCAATTCTTTTGGCCATCGCTCCATACTAAGGGGGGAGGAGTTACAGAAACAACATCAACAACAACAACATTAACACAAGCACCTACAAAGCCACCAAGGTTAAATCAAGCAAATAAATAATAAAAATTATTAAGAATTGCTAATAAGTCAATAACCGTATGAATTGCTACATATAAAATTAGTAAAATAAAGAATTGTTCAATAAAAGAATTGTTAAATAAGCATATATTTAAATTTCAAAGAATTGTAAACAGGCCACCAGCTATAGAATTACTAATAATTTTATAAATTGTCAAAATGCAGTTATTGCAATTTTCACTTTAAATAAGTTTATAATCGTAACTTTCATTTTTAATTATTGTTTTCAATAAAGAGGAGTAATTTTTGAGCAACCAACGAATAAACTTGTGTTTTTTTTAATACTCGGATTACTACAAGAATTAACTCGCGCATCTTTCAGCCAGAGAGAGACGGTCATCACTAGATCGACTGCAAAGACCTCACCTGGCATTTATGCAAATATTAGTATTCGCAAAGTTGGAACAAAATCGGATAATCTATTCTCTTTCTGTGCAATAAATTATTTTCTTTGAAAATTTTGACATTTTGTGGGGGAGGTACCAGAAGGATTGAACCGATATTTCCCATCTCTGAACTCGATTTAAATTTGATAGTAATATTACGATGTACCAAGTTTGGATCATATCGGATACTCCTTTCGAGAGTTATCACGCGCATCTTCCAGCCAGAGAGAGACGGTCATCACTAGATCGACTGCAAAGACCTACGATCTAAAACCGTTATTTCGATGAGGCTGAGCTTATAAAAATACATATCGCGTATTGCTGGATGTAGTGTTTTGACGAGGGATATCAACCAAAAAACCTTGGTGGATAAGAAGTTAAAACTATTTAAAAACATAACCCGATCTCTGGGGGTTGGTCATTATACATTTTAGTACACCGCCATCGATTATATATCATTACGTGGATTATACAGTAGTTCTGCTCAAATGGCCTTATTTTATTATTTGTTTATTTGAAATTTAACAAAATATGCCTCATTTCACCTTCTAAAAATTACACACAGTATGTGAGACATCTTTCCTATTACAACTCTCCTCTACGACAGTGTGGCACAGTGTCTGCACAATTTACATGATTTCCCCTCATATGTTCATTCTCACCACTCACGGGTTGTAATATGCCACATGGCCTATGCAGGTAGCCAGTGAGAGCAACATGCAAACATTTCTTAACCGATTGCCGTTTTTGTTGTTGGACTTTCTTTAAGGAGAAATTTGCAGAGAAACAGAACAGAACAGATTCGCGCCCCAAAAATGAAAGCACTGACATACACACACACACACGTACTCACGCCAACCGATTACAGAGCGTTGAACAGAAAAACAGGAGGCAAAGTACGAAAAATAACGAAAAACAACGACGAATAGATGAAAGAACAAACGAAACGAACGAAGCAGCAGCACAAGTGAAATATAAAAAACGGCCAAGCTAAACACGAAAGAGCCGAACAAAATTCAGCTCAGTTGCAATTTGAGTTGTTGACCGTGCAGTTCTCTAACGTTGTTGAGTTCAGATTCCAATAAGAATTGAATACAATACAAATCACATATATATAAGCATAGAAAAAATAATAAAAGTTTCAAAGCAAACACCGAAAAGAAATTAAACAAAATTCTTAACTTTAAACAAAATAGCTGCGGGTATATATTCACACAAAACTCACATCATCATTATTAGAATGTTCTTCACATCACAACTTTTTTCTGCGAATGTTGCTGCTGCGCTACTCTACAACCAACAAGCAAACAATCAAGCAAGCTCTTGTCTGCTGTTAATTAACAAACAAAACAAATGAAAAGAAAAAAAGAATAAATTATTTGAATCAGAATAAAATTATTCATCGCCCACGGCTAAAAAAAAAAATAATAAAAACAAACAGCAAAATAAAGAAATTTAGGCGAAGCAAAAAAATACAAATTTTTCAAGATAAGAGAACACTACAAAAACAACAAGAAATTAAACAAATTGTTTGTATTATCAGCCAGAAGGTTTTTTTACAACAAGCTACAAAGCATCAACATAAAATCCACCAGAAAAATTCCATTTTTTTCAATTTCAGTGGCGGCCTCTTGTTGCCTTAAGAAAATGTATAAAAGCAAGGAACTGTGTTAAGGTTATTTGCCGAGCACACGTTTTTTCTTTCTTACAAGGGAAAAAGAGAGAGCCCATACCTTTTTCTATTTCCCAAAGGAAAACTGAAAATACATTACATTTTTTGTGTATTTTCCTGCCTTGTAAGCTTTGCTTATTTTCTGCGGTAAAATTTCAGAGTGGTGTTTGCTGCTGCTGAATGGTGAATTTTTCATTGAGAGGAGGAGACATTGTGTTTTTTTACCACACTCATTTCGTTTGTTTCCCTCTTTTCGGTGGCTCTCTTCAAACAATTTTGTTTTTTTTTTCGCACATCATTGGGTCTCTGAGTGCTGTAGTTGTTGTTTTTTTTTTTCACTTGGTTGGTTATTGGGCTCCCCCTACCACTAGACAAAAAAAAAGAAAAAGAGCGCGTGAGTGTGTTTGCGTGGTGGGGAGAGAACTATGGACACAGCAGTAGAGCGAGCAGTGAGAAATTAGTTCGATGTTCCATTTGTACGTACAAAAGAAATTCATGGCAAAACGCATTTCTTCTTTCAGTGTTTTTTGACCCTCACTCCTATACAAAACGAATTTCGTTGAAACAGAAACAAATTGTTGTAAAAAGAAATACCCCCGAAAAACGTCGTAAGCAGAGACGCGTCGTACGCCGCAAAGCAACAGCAGCAACAATCGTCGTCAGTCAGTAGTAGTTGTCGTCGTCGTCAGTCACACATCGTCAGTGTGAGTGTAACCGGAGAGAACTTAAGGCCGTAAGACTTATAACGGAAGCATTTTCTTCACACACATCCAAATTTACTTCAGTCGATAGTAGTTCGAAATTCCAGACCGGCGGATTTCCAACTACTCAACAACAACAAACAGCTTTAATTTAACTTAAAAAACCCCACAACAAAACAAAAAAAACACATTTAAAATGGTGAGTAACACAAATTAAAATCCAAAAAAAATAACGAAGAAAAAAATAAAAGGAAAGTTTTGGCGTAAACAAAATTTGTAATTTGTGTGTGCCAAACCGCAGAAAATTTCACAAGAATAAAACATCTAGGAAACCACAAAAAAGAAAAAAAAAAAAAAACAAGGCAAGATTTATGATGTTTCGAAATATTTTTATACGGTGCAAAGAAAGTTTAATACACACAAAATACTTTGAAATTTATTCGGCTGAACGAATTGAAATTTCCGTTAAAGTTTGAAAAAAGGGTGGAGTAGTTCCATACGAAAGAAAAAAAAAAGTTGGCCGTCATCTATTGTCGTCGTCATCATCATCACCAACCATTATCCAGCTCATCGAGTTGCTGTCGCGTTGGTTGTCATCGTGTGGTGTTTATGCTTTTTAGTTGGTTGGTGGTTACTCATTCGAGGAAATAACTGGCTTGGTTACTTTTTTGGGTAGTATCGCCGGATTTGTTGCTGGTTTGTGAGCTTTTCTACATACTTTTTTTTTTTGGAAATGAAATGCAAAAAATGAGGTTATTTCAAGCAAAAAAGGCACAAGAATTTAATTTCATGACAAAAAAGTGTTTGGTGTGCGTGCATGTGTGTGCCTTGCAAATATTTCTCTACTATGTGTTTTCGCTCTTTCTCTCTGTCTCTAGGGGAGAAAATAAGGAGCACACACAGTTTTTTCTTTACTCCACCATTCATAGGGGAGCGAAACGGTTCACACAATGTGTGTGTTTGTTTCACATAAACCGTTTGGCTTACATTTGTTTTTTTTTTGCAAAAGAAATATTCTCTCTATTGCTTATCTGTTTTATTTCCCTCTTTTGCTGTGTATCACCTTTGCCATGTCTCGTTGGCTGGCTGGCTGCTGGCCTTTGGTTTGTTGTTATAAATCAAAAACAACCACTTTTTGTGTGTTCTGCTTTGCATTGGCCCCACACAACATGCTTTTTCTCTATTCTTGCCAAAGTGAATGCTCTCGGTGGTGTGTATTTCTCTCTCTCAGTCTCTCGGTGAGGATTTCTCCTCCACCAACACCGCTGTTTCAATTTGTGTATTGCCTTTTGTTTTAACCGTTTCGTAGCACATATCAAAAAGGAGATGCCAATAACCGCACTGCAGTTGTTTGCTTCCCTTTTTGCTATGGTTTCGTTGGTCTTTGTTTTCTTTCGCACTTTTTTTTGCTTTATTTATTTGTTTTCGTAGTATATTTTATCTTTTTTTGAGATTTCAGCGGCGTTTTATTTCCTTTGCTTTTGGGGGTTTCTTGTTTCTTTGCATTTCATTGTGAAGGAAAAAAATGTATTGTTTTTTTTTTTTTGTTCTTATTCATGTTTGTTAAAAAGATGAGACTACAGATAGGTAGGCAGGCAGGCAGCTGGCGGACAAGGCAATAATTGTTAGCAACAAAAACAATTAGCACAACAATAAAAAAAATGTGCTAAACAATATTAACAATAAAAGTTGAAAGGTTTCATTTGCCTTGCTGCTGCTATGTTCCTTGAAGCCGCCATTGCGAATTAACATTTGACGGCTTTAATAGTGGCAGCTTTGCAACAGTGTGGTGTGTTAATGACAGTGCAACTGATAGAGAGAGTTTAAACCGGGTTTACATGCCGTGCAAATCAATGAAATAAAAGTGTGTTAATATTAATATTATTGATTATTTTAGAAGGAAACAGTGGGGAAACGGCTAAAATATCGTTAATAAATTAAGTTGAAAGAGATTTTGGTTCATAAAAAATATAAAATTCTTCCAATCAATAACTGTTATGTTAGTGAGAGAAGTTAGAAGAAGAGTCACCTTAAACTTAGTTTATACTGTGTAATCAAGATAAGGAGTGTTTAGACAGTTCTTTTAATGAGTATATAGTAGATTTAGGTAATTGTAGATTAAATGGAGTTATAGGAGCCCGGATTAGGCCAATGCGCAGAAAAAATGTTCAAAATAATAAAAGAAGAAAGAAAATGAATGTATTAAAAGCATAAATGTTCATGTGAAGTTTTAGTGTAAAAATGAAGTTTTGCCTGGAAAATTGTGTAGGGGATTAACTTTGACAGCAAAACAGAGTGAAATGCGCACAGGGTCACTTAAATTACGGGTTTTACGAAGACTTGCCATTTATTTGACGCCTAAGCAAAGAAATTGACAATCCGTAATTTTAGGAAAATAAATATGTTCGGTATATAAAGAGCTTAACGTTTACATTGTCACTAAGATGGAATTCATTGTCCCTTTATCCTGTGAAAATTGCCGAAAAATCCAAAAAATATGTTTTTAATTAGAATAATTTGGCTACTTTTATTTGGAAAAACAAAAATAAGTTATAATTTTTTTTTGTGAAAAATTGCCTCCTTGCCATTGATCATTAGTTAGGCCAAAAACACAAACAAACAACAGCAACAAAAAATAATCTCGATTCAGGGTTAATTTTGAATTTCTAAATTTTCGATAATAAAATTTATTGTTATTTTCGCAGAATTGCTAATTTATTTGTTTATTATTACCGATTGTTGTTTTTTTTTATTTAATTAACATTAAAGCGGCCTGTGTTGGCTGTATTGTTTGGAAATAAGAAGAGCAACAACAAACTTATTTTTGTTGTTTGCCATGTGCTTCAGAAAACAGAAAAAAAATAGCCGAAGCGTCGACAGAGATATGATAAGCAGATTTCAATTTTGTTTTTTAATTAAATTAGAGGAAGAAGAGAAAACAAAAAAACATTTCAGCAATTGCTGATAACAGTATTTTTAATTTAATGATCTTCTAAATATAGTGAATATTATAGAATACATTAATTTTATGGGATTTTTTGGGGCACAATTTTTTCATGGGAATAGAAAAAAAAAATAATCAAAGGAATAAAAAAAAAATCCGTTTCCAAAATATCGATAATTTGACTATAACTTCCGAACGGCTCCATCATGTGTGTTGGATAGGCATTTTCATAAGCTTTACAATGATACCTATATTGTCGATATGGGATAAGTGGATCCTGGTCTTGAACTTGGACATTCGGGTCAAAAATCTAGGGTCCCGGGTCCGTCCCCAAAAAAAAATAATTTTCCGGAATCAGGATAAAATTGCCTACCTCTGGAAAAAAATATTTTTTGGTTTCCTGTATTTTTTTATTTTTTATACCCTCCACCACATTTTAGACCGCACATATATACTTTGTGCGGTCTAAAATGTGGTGGAGGGTATAAAAATATATTTTTGATCAGCATAAAATTCTATGTCGATTTAGCGATGTCCTCCTGTCTATCCGTTTGTGGAAATCACCCTAGCTTCCGAACGAAATGAAGTAGGTTGATAAAATTTTACTCAAATGTGTATTATGTCGGCAGAACGTTTGGTATTGAACATTGGTGATTCAGGTCCACGTTTGGGTATAGCCTCCATATAATGGTACCTCCCGATATTCGGTATTTTGATGATTTTAGCGACATTATTCACCGGAAATGTTTTAAATTTGGTATTTGAAGTTCGTAATGGATACTACAGCCCAAGACAGGTCCACAATATAGTCTCCATATAACAGTTTTCATTTAATTGGTAGTTTCCGGAAGTTTTATGAAAATTTCAATTTCTTCAAAATGGGGAAAGGTATTATTATTTTTTTTATATTTTTTTATTAATTTTTTGTTTTTTATTATTTTTGTTTTGTTATATTTTTTATTTAATTATTTTTGATAAGGTTTTTTTTTTCCTATTTTTATATATTTTTTTGTATTTATAGTATATTCTGTTTTGTGTTTGTTTTTACTATTTTTGTTTTTTTTTTTTTATAAATTTTTTGATATATTTTTTATTTATATTTCTTGTTTTTTTTATGTATCAATTTTTTGTTTTTTTTTTTTCTGTTATTTTTTGTTATATTTTTTTGTTTTTTTTTTTTTTATTTTATTTTATTTTATTTTTTTTACTTTGTAATTTTTTCTTATATTTAATTTTAAAATTTTTTTTTCATATAGTTGACTTTGCAACAATACCACACCATCATGCCTGGCTACTTGTTTTGACTCAAATACCACAATAACCACGTTTCTAATTAAAAATTCAATATCGCAATTTTTATTTTATTTTCTCCTGTCCCTGTACTGATTTTTTTTACATTGCGGTTGCAACAGTTTCACATTTTTTTCCTGCCCATAAAATGTTGGTGAATTAAAAAAATGAAACGAACTACCAGCAACAAAAAAAAATGCGTGTAAAATCGGGCAACTGGGCTAGCCCACCACAAGCCAGTCAGCCTGTGTCACGTTCTTCTGCCAGGCAATAAATTGTGAAAGTAATTTATAATTCATGAATATGTGACACGTTTATAGATTGGCAACCAACAGGTCAAAGTAAAAACACCACCACTACACATACATACATGTGATACACATGTGTACAAAAGGATGAATATGTGTGGGCGGAAAAATTGTATGCCATGAAGGTGGCGTTTCCTTTTCTTTTGATTTCAGCAATGAAAAGCTTCCTCCTTACTTCCTTGGTTTATGGCATGTTAATAATATCACAACAGTTTAATTTCCATCAAAAAAATGTGCTGGAAGCACAAATAATAAGAAGAACCTCTTCAGTCAGTTATTGTTCGTGTTTTTCTCTCCTCATTTCCTGTCAATTAATATTTTCTGCAACATTGATTGCAAAAGCCATCAGCCAAGAAATTTCTTCATTGCCACAATAAGAAAAAAATGAAATGGAATGGTACGACCCAGAGCCTGCCCTGCCTGTCTCTGACTTCTGATAACAGTTTGTCCATATCCATGGTGCTGTGAAATTGTATTTCTGGCATTTATATCTGTGCGTGTGTGAAATATCTTATGGCCTAGTGTCGACGTTTCGTCGTCTGTCCATTTTATGAATCACAAATTCTTTTTAATTCCTTACGATATCATCATCATATTATTGTTATTATTGTTGTAGTTATTTTCATTATTTTGCTTTCGTTATCATCGTGTCATTTT